GTCAAGCAGTATATGCTTGTGGATCTCTACATTAAAGGCAAGATCCTCAAGGTATCACTGTCAGGTCTCCATGATCTTGATCTTGGAAACCTTTGTAGGGGAAAAAAAATAAACAATTGAGCTAACATGTTAGGCCACTGAAACTATAACTCCTAGAGACTTGGGAGGCCATGTTTCAGCAGATAAGGGAATATGTGATATCTGAGAGTGATAAAGAAGCATGACATAGCAGGGATGGGGGAAAACATCATGGCAGTGGAGAAATATTATCACACAGCTTAGAAGTCTAACAGTAGCCTTAGGATAACTCCTTATTATTGGAATTTATGAGTCAGGGGTATGTGCATTTGTAAGGCTTTTGTTAATTTTACCAAACTTTCATCAAAACAAGTTGGAGTGATTTACACTCTCACCAGTAGTATATAGACTATCCACTTCACTTATGACATTTGAAATTGAGCACCTGAGTAAAAACAAATTCTTGCCTCTTGTTCATGGCTATGGCCATGCTGACCATATTCTTTTATCTCTTGATATTCTAAAACATATTGTTTTTATTTTTTGTTCAGCTATATTCTGACAATGATTTCCATATAAATTAATGGACAAATAAAAGGTATCATGTTTTGAATGCTCACAATATTCCATGTACTGTGGTGAAGTGCTCTATAAATATTAAGTTTTTTAAAAATTCTCAAAAATAGCCTGGGAAAACAGAGATTAAGCTATTTGTCCCCAATATCTTATAGTAACTAGCAGAGCAAGACTATCAACCTAGACAGTGAGTGTTCAAATCCACTGTATAGCTCTTTGAATTATAAAAAGTATAATTATTGGATCAATTGGGAACTCCATGTATATTTAAATATTTATTATTAAATTATTTCAAGACTTTGGGCCTATTATACAAATTAAATTTGCTTTATATTAGATGCTCACAGTCACTAATACAAATTAAATAAAAATGCTGAATGGTCACACCACTTCCTAACAAGTAAATGAATCTTCAGTTCTACATACAATTTCCATATAGCTCATATTTTTAAGATGTTATTTCTTGCCTATGGCACTTATTTATTCTAAATAAATTCTAAATCATCCCAATTATGACTATCATATAGACAAATATTTGGATATAATTATAATGGGAATTGAGGAAGCCGTCTCACCAATATTACCATACCTTACTAAATTCCTTTCAACCATTAATTTAAAAATTTTATCCAATCTCAAACATTGTTGTCCTCATATTGCAAATGTGTAATAAAGTTTTCTGGTTTTAAACTGACTACAGTGACAACTAGCATATCTGTAATACTTTCCAGTACATTATTTCATTTACTCCCCATAACAGCCCCATGAGGCATGTCTATTATTGTTATTATCCTAATCATCATAGAGATAGCAAGTCTTTCCTCAGGTGATTCAGGTAGTGAAATAGTAGAACCAAAATATAAACTCAGTTTTTGAGAGTCCAAGTTCTTTCCTCAACAGATACTTCCTCTTCCTTGACATTTTAAGGAGGTTAATAACCAACAAAATGATCAAATGTGAAGGAAAGGAGCTGATGGATTGATGAATCAGTAAATCAAATTTCAAACACTAACTAGGAGGAGGGTATAGCTCAGTGGTAGAGTGCATGCTTAGTATGCATGAGGTCCTGGGTTCAATCCCCAGTACCTCCGTTAAAAAAAATTTAAATAAATAAATAAACCTAATTATCTCCCTACCTACCCCTAAGAAAACTCAACACACACACACACACAAAATTCACTAATCCTCAGATGGTCTCAGACATAGTGACACAGTAGATTATAAGAGTTTTACTTGAGGACATGATGTGGTCCTTCCCCAATAAGAACACCTATCTCATTTCATGGGTCAATTGGAAATGAAGAGAGCAGCCAATGTTAATTAACCTGCAGAGGGATTTTTTTTTTTTTATAGCTTGTCTTTACTTCAAAGTCAGGGCTATTTCTTTGCTCATTTCTTTGTTCTTTTTTCTGTCTTATATCATTGCCTTTGGGGCCCCACAAATTGAAGAATTGTTAATGAATTGGGCATAAGCTCCTAGTGTAGCATTTTCAAACCAACAGACCATTACAGATTAATATTTATTTCTGATTTGGTGGTCAAAGAATGACACTGAACATTTTAAGACATTTTATTTGGTTGATTGTTCCTAATATACATAGTTCCATAAGTGGCTGTCTGAAGGTTGCCTAGATAAAAACAACTGTAGAACTAGACAAGACCTTAGAGATCACTCATTGCTTTATATATGCAACATAATTCTTTGTATCTAATATTGTTTATAAAACTGTTTGATTTTGTCTTTTTCATTTTGACTGAACTATTTGGGAGAAATTTTCGAAAATTTTCTACTTTATCAAAATATCTCTATGGAACTGTATGAACCGTATACAGAAATGCTGTTTGGAACTGTCTGAAACACTTCAGGACAGCGACTGTAAAGGAATTTCTTACTGTACAATGTCTGAATTTTAACAGTTTGTCTTCTGATTTGAATTTAATCAAATTTTGCTAACAGACATAAAATATATAAACCCCTTTTATAAAGTGTATTATGTTTTAGAATATACACACAAAATAAGAAAGTACTGAAAGGAGACCTGGAAATGAACTAGTTCAAGAGATCTCAAATCTTTTTCCTATATTTCTCAATATATTTGGCAGCGATACCCAAAAACACTTTCTTTTTGGTATTCCCCATCACTAATCATAGGGAAATGTAAATCAAAACTACAATGAGATTTCACCTCACACCTGTTAAAATGGCTGTTATCAAAAAGACAAGAAATGAGTGGAGGGTAATAGCTCAGTGGTAGAGTGTGTGCTTAGCATGCACAAGGTCGTGGGTTCTATCCCCAGTACCTCCATTAAAAATAATAATAATAAATTTTTAAGAGACAAGAAATAAATTCTGGCAAGGATGTGGAGAAAAATGAACCCTAGTACACTGTTTGTGGGTATGTAAATTGATGCAGCCATTACGGAACACAATATGGAGATTTCTCAAAATATTAAAAATAGAACTAACATATGATCCAGCAATTCCACTTCTCAGTATATATCCAAAGGAAATGAAATCATTATCCTGAAGAAATACATGGGCTGCCATGTTCATTGCAGCATTATTTACAATAGTCAAGACATTATTTATAATATGATACACACACACACATATACACACACACAATGGGATACTATTTAGCTATAAAAAGTAAGGAAATCAACAATATGGATGGACATTGAGGACACTATGCTAAGTTAAATATGTGAGACAGAGAAAGAAAAATACTGCATGACCTCACTTACGTGTGGAATCTAAAAAAATGAAGTCATAGGAACAGAGAACAAATTGGTGGTGCCAGAGGCAGGGGGTGGAGTATGGGGGAAATGGGTGAAGGCAGTTTAAATGTACAAACTTCCAGTGATAAGATTTTAATGATTCTGGGGGTATAATGTACAGCATGGTGACTATAGTTAACAATACTGTTTTGTAAATTTGAAAGTTGCTAAGAGAGTAAATCTTAAAAGTTCCCATCACAAAGTAAAAAAATTTTCTGACTATGTGAAGTGATGAGTGTTAACTAAATTTTAGTAATCATTTTACAGTACATACATATATCAAGTCATTATATTTCACACCTTAAACTAATACTATGTTGTATGTTAATTACATGTCAATAAAAATGGGGGAAAATGGCAAAGTAATACATAAGGCCATAATAGACTGTCAAAGAATTAGCAACTCAAATGCAACAGCCTAGTAAAGATGACACTGATTTGGCCAACTAGTTTGACAAGTTTGAAAGCTTCCTCCCTGTCTGCTTGTCCAGGCAAGTAACATTCGTTGATGGCCCAAATGCGAAATCTGTGTGTCTCCTTCTCTGTCTCTTCTTCCCCACATATCATCTTTCTTTGGTAGTAGTAACTGGCTAAAAGATTCGATTTTAAGAGATGCTGAGCCAACTCATAATTTTAAGTATATACCTTAAAATAAGACAAAAAAAAAACCCCACATACTTTTGCTGGGAGAGTCTCAGAATCCATAATTCTGAGGAGGAGTGTCAGTTAAGTATATATTTTGAAAAACTCCAAGGTATTGCTGATATATTCCCTGAAGTGTTACTCCAGTTTCCATATATGAATCACTAATTTAGTTTACTCCCTTCATTTACTGAACTAGAGACTAAGATCTGGGAGATCAAATGATTTACTCAAACAGCTATTTGTTGAACAGCAAAGACTTGAGCCCTTTTTCGATACACCATATTGAAATTCTCTATAGCAGACATTTTTGTCTCACAAAAGCCATTTTCTGTTTCTCCCAACTCTGCACATTCCTTAGTAACATCACCCTGATTTGGGTCAGATTCAGGGAAGGCATGTGCATTATAGGAGGATGTACCACCTCCCCAGCCCAGGGAACTAATCTTGATCCGCCTATGTCACTTATGGTAATTCCATTCCCTATAGTCATTCATTGGTAAAGTTATGGCCAATGAGCCAAAAGGAAAATTCTACACAGGTAGCTTTTGGGAAAGTTTTTCTCACTGTTAAAAAGAGTCATAAGGAAATTAGAGGATATAATGGTATCTGCAGTTGCAGCAGCTGTCCTGTAATTCTGAAAGAACAAGTCTAAAAACAAAAGTCAATAAGCTAAAGAATTGCAGATTGTAAAAAAATGGAAGAATATGGATTCTCGCTGACGTTGTAGAGCCACTGAACTAATCAACCTTGGAACAACCATATTGCCAGATTTCTTGTTAAGTGAGTTAATAAATCTCTGTATTATTTACACTTATTTGACATAAGTCTTCTGTAACTTATTGTTTAAGCTGTCTTGAACCGGGTTTTCCAATACTTAGAGTCAAAAGAATTTTGAGTAATATCCAGTATTAGCGGGTTAGAAGGTTTGTTCCCTGTACCTAGAAGAAAACAATTCTGCAGTGCAATAGGGTGGAGGGAGAGAATATTTAGTGTTAAAGGCTAATTAATAAAGATATTGTAACTTAATGCAAGTTCCTTTTGAGAGAATATGAAAACTCTAACAGCCCCTTTAAAATAATTTTAATGCTAATAGCAGAATAACATTTTCAACGAGATCTGCAAAGGTTATATTTTTAGGTTTAGTAGTGCTGGTTATCCTTACTAGACAAAGCAAAATGGATCTCTACCACACTGTAATTTTACGTTTATTGGCATTTTAATATTTTAAAATTTATCTTCATTACCTTGTATTGCTCCACATCCTTACTCTCACATCTGGCTGAAACAGCCTTGAAATTTGTCTGCATGATACCTCTGTCTTTTGTCTTATTAATTCCATGTTTGTATAGGTATGCAAATATATAACTTGAGATGTGTGAAACTCTTTGAGGCTCCCATTCTTCCAAGTCGTATTTGAATTATCTGAGCCCATAGGGAAAACATCTGAGAAAGGTCATAGAATATTTTCAAATCATTGAGTTGTAGGGAAACTCATCACTCATTTAGATCAGTGTAATATTCAGAGCTTACAAACATTTTCTCCAGAAAATGTCTGTGAACTCTTTTAAATTATAAGACAGTGTGCAGAAGTGGCTACAAAAAGTGAGCGGATCTACCCTGGAGTATAGGCTCAATGTATATAAATAGTGTGGTTGAGACGTGCCAGAAAGAGTCTCCAATCACGATAATACCTCACTATTTGCCTGCCATAGGCTCAGAAACTTCTCTGTTATAAAATCATTCTCTTTGAATTTGAAGGATTATTGATTATAAATATTCCCTTTCTTAAAATTACAAATTATGAATTAAACAACGTAGATATTAGTTGACCACTAGCTAAAATCAAGAAAAAAATGAAAGAGTAGGGATCTGGGAAAAAAGGTATTTGGGGAAGGACACCAGGGCCAAACTAAGTGGGAAGTGTTAGAGTATCAAAGAGAATTCCCCCAACTCTTTATTCAAAGCTACAACAAATGATCATTGAACCCAGAAGTGAAAAAAAGAGGCTGCAGAAGAGTATTCCTTTTTTTGGTCAAAACACAGTTTTTCAGCCAGGTTTCATTGGCTCTCAGATGAGAGGTTTTGAAACATTAGTGTACTCAGGAGTCAACTATAAAGTTTATTTTAAAAGCCGATTACCTACCACCCTCAGATAATATTATTTCAAGGTTACGTTAGAACATAAAATTTCAGCTACACATGGGTCATCTGGGGTGAGCCTAGGAATCTATTCTTAAAAAGTTTCAGGGAGTGGTATCAGTCAAATGGCAGAGCAGGAAGCCCTGAACCCTCCTTCCCCTCATGGACAAACAATTCAACTACACACAGTCCAGTTCCCTTTATGAGAAATCCAGAAACTAGTTGAGAGGTTCCTACACTGCAAGCAAGTACAAAACCAGCCACATCAAAACTAGAAGGAAATTTGAGACATGCTGTCGTAATCCCTACATCTGGTGCAGCACCATATAATCAGGAGGAAACCCATAGCTCCCAGCTTCTCCCTGGAGAAGGAAATAAAGGACTGCACCATATAACCAACACTGATTTTTCTGGCCATTACCTGAATCATTGCTTTTGTCTCACCTGACTTCGAGTGCTGAAATGATCAGGCGCACTCTAGACACCTGTAGGTAACCAAGAAAAAGATAGTTTGAACTAACATACTAGCACTCACCACAGCCCATTCCCAAGGCTCAGTTTTAAGCGAACAGGCAAAAATCCCACTTTCCAGCTTATCCCTGAGGAGAGAAGAAAAGTACTGGATCATGTGTCCTATATTTTGTTTTTCTGGGGGCTTCCCAAGGCACTGACTTACATCTCTCCTGTGTCAAATGCTGACAGAACCCTGGGGGATGCTAAGAATAAAAACAGTGGTTTGGACTTGTATGAAGGTTTGAGAGGTCCCCAGAAAATATAGCCAGGCTGATTGGTAAGGGTCTTCTCATGTATGAGAGCTGTCAGTAAGAAACAGGAGAGGTGGCTGTTTTTTCTAATGTACACATAGCAACACGAAGAGTCAAGGAAAAAGGTGAAACAGGGAAATATGTCCCAAAGAATGAAACAAGATAAATCTCCAGGGAACAAACCCAGTGAAATAAAGATATCTGATTCACCTGACAGGTAATTAAAAATAAATGTCATTAAAAATGTTCCATACGGTCAGGAGAACAACGTATGAATAAGCAAATGAGAATTTCAAGAAATATAAAAAAGAAAAATATATGAAACAGAAATCATGGAGCTGAAGAATACAATAATTGAACTGAAATATTCACTAGAGGCATTCAACAACAGAGTACTTTTAACAGAAGAAAAGATCAGTAAATTCAAAAACAGACCACTGGACATTATCCAGTCAGAGAAGAACAAAGTAAAAGAATGAAAATAAGTGAAGAAAGTTTAAGGTACATAGGGGACACCTACAAACAGACCAATAAACACATTACGGGATTCCCAGAAAAAGAAAAGTTAAAGAAGGGGTCAGAAAGTATATTCAAACAAATAATGAAAGAAAAATTTCCAAATCAGGGAAGGAAATGGCCAGTCAGACCCAGGAATTTCATTAGTTCCCCCCAAAAAGATAAATTCAAAGAACTCTACACTGAAACTTACTATAATCAACCTGTCAAAAGTCAAAGAAAGAATATTTTGAAAGAAGGAAGGAAAAAGCAAATTGTCACATACAAAGGTACCCCCATATAACTATCAGTGGTTATCTTAGCAGAAACATTGCAGGACAGAAAGAGTAGGATGATATATTCGAAGGTTGCAAAAGGTAAAATTGTCAGCCAAGAATACTATGCCTGGAAAAACTGTTCTTTAAAAATGAAGGGGAGAAAAAGATATCCCAGACAAACTCGGGGGTTCATCATCATTAAACTTTTCTTACAAAAATGCTGAAGGTATAATACTAAAATGGTGGTAAGTAAATCATTTTTAATTATAGTATAAAATACTAAAGTATTAAAAACAACTATGATTATTAGAATATACTAATGGACATGCAATACAAAAAGAGGTAAATTCTGACATAATTAACATAAAGTGCCAGGGATGGAAAAGTAATTATGTTGAGATTTTGTATGTGAATGAAGTTAAATTGTATCGGGTTAAGATACACTGCTATATAACTATAATTTTTTTTTAATGTAAGCTCAAAGGTAACCACAGAGGTAACACCTTTAGGAGTCACACAAAGAAAAAGAAAAAAATCTGTAGATAGCTTTGAGAAGTATGGCCATTTTAACAATATTAACTCTTGCAATCCAAGAGCATGGGACATCTTTCCATTTCTTTGAATCATATTCAATTTCTTTTATCAATTTTTACTAGCTTTCAGTATATAGATCTTTTACCTCATTGGTTTAGTTTATTCCTAGGTGTTCTTTATGTGATTTTAAATGGGATTTTTTAACATTATTTTTCTGACATTTCATTATTAGCGCAAAGAAATGCAACAGATTTCCATGTGTTAATCTTGTATCCTGCTACCTTGCTGAATTCATTTATTAGTTCTAATAGTTTTTGTTTGGAGACTTTACAGTTTTCTACATTAGAGTATCATGCCATCTGCAAATAGTGAAAGTTTTACCTCTTCCCTTCCAAAACGATCTGCAGATGTAATGCAATCTCTATCAAAATATCTGGGGCATTTTTCACAGAACTAAAATAAATAATCCTAAAATGTATATGGAACCATAAAAGACCCAGAATTGCCAAAGCAATCCTGAGGAAAAAGAATGAAGCTGGCGGTAAAATCTTTCTGGACTTGCATCAAAACAGCATGGTTTTGGCACAAAAACAGACACATAGATGAATGGAACAGAAAAGAGAGCCACACCCCCCCAAAAAACCCCATGCACCTATGGTCAATTATTCTACAACAAAGAAGGCAAGAATATATAATGAAGTGAAGACGGTTTCTTCAACATATGGTGTTGGAAAAACTGGACACCTACATGTAAAATAATGAGATTGGATCATTCCCTCACAACATATACAAAAATAAACTCAAAATGGTTTAAAGACCTAAATGCAGGACCTGAAAACATAAAACTCCTAGAAGAGAACATAAGTGGAACACTCTGTGACATCTATAGTAGCAATATTTTCTTGTATGAGTCTCCTAAGGCAAAAGAAATAAAAGCAAAAATAAACAAATGATACCTAATTAAATTTAAAAGCTTTGCACAGCAAAGGAAACCATCAACAAAATGAAAAGACAATATACAAAATGGGAGAAAATACTTGCAAATGATACAACTGACAAGGGGTTAATATCCAAAATATACAAACAGCTCATACAACTCAATATCTAAGGAGAAACAATCCAATCAAAAAATGGGCAGAAGACATAGATATTTTTCCAAAGAAGACCTACAGATGGCCAACAGGCATCTGAAAAAATGCTCAACATTAATAATTATTATAGAAATGCAAATCAAAACCACAATGAGGTATCATCTCACACCAGTCAGAACGTCTATCCTCAAAAAGTCTTCAAATAATAGATGCTGGGACAGAGAAATGTGGAGAAAAGGGAATCTTCCTATACTGTTGATGGGAATGTAAATTGGTGCAGCTACTATGGAAAACAGTATAGAATTTCCTTAAAAGACTCAACGTAGAGCTACAATATTACTCAGAAATCTCACTCTGTAGTATATATCTGGAAAAAAATCAAAAACTATAATTTGAAAAGATACATGCACTCCAATGTTCACGCAGCACTATTTACAATAGTCAAGACATGGAAAGAACCCAAGCACCTATCAACAGATGCTTTGTTTAAGATGTTATATATACATATACATATGATGGAATATTATTCAGTCATTAAAAGAATGAAATATTGCCATTTACAGCAACATGGATGGACCTAGAGAATATTATGTTTAGTGAAGTAAGGCAGACAGAGAAATGCAAATACTGTATGATATCATTTATATGTGGAATCTGAAAAATAATACAAATGAACCTATATACAAAATAGAAATAGACTCACAGACATAGAAAACAAACATGGTAATCAAATGGGAGAGGGAGGGACAAATTAGGAATACGGGATTAAATGATACAAACTACTATATGTCAAATAGATAAGCCAAGAGGATTTACTGCATAGCACAGGGAACTATATACAATATCTTGTAATAACCTATAATGGAATATAATCTGAAAAAATACTGACTCACTATGTTGTAAACTTGAAACTAACACATTGTAAATCAACTATACTTCAACAAAAAAATTTTAATTTACAAATTTTTTAAAAGAAAAAAGGAAAAAGCAAAGTATATAAATACAAAACAATGATGAAACACAAAGGAAAGGACAAGAGAGAAAAATAAAGACAAAAGAACTACAAGGCAGACAGAAAATAATAAATTGTCAATCGTAAGTCCTTCTCTATCAATAATTACTTTACATTTAACTGGATTAAACTCCTCAATCAAAAAACATATAGAGAAGCTGAATGGACTTTTAAAAAAGATCTAACTATATTCTATCTAAAGACAACTCAATTTAGATTTAAGAACACACTCAGGCTGAAAATGAAGGAATGAAAAAAGGTATTCCATGAAAATGGCAACCAAAAGACAGCAGGGATGGCTACATTTATATCTGACAAACTAGACTTTAAGTCAAAAACTGTCACAAGTGATGAAGAAGGATATTATATAATGATAAAAAGGTCAATTCACCCAGGAGACACAACAATTATAAACATATATGCACACAACATCACAGCATTTAAATATAAAAAACAAATAATAACAGGACAAAGTAAGAAGTAGACAAATTCAACAGCATATTGAAAGGGTCACTCACGACAGCAAAGTGGAATTTACTACTAGGATGCAAAGATGATACAATATAAGAAAATCAATTATTGTGACATATCCACAATACTACATGATCATCTCAATAGATTATTTTTTAAAATTTATTTTCCAATTTTATTGAGCTACAATTGACCTATAGCACTGTAAAAGTTTAGAGTGCATAGCACAATAATTGGACTTAACATAAATCATGAAATGATTATCACAATAAGTTTAGTGAGCATCCATCATCTCATATCCATTCAAAATTAAAGAAATAGAAAACAGTTTTTCCTTGTGATAAGAAGTCAGGATTTACTCTCTTAACTTTCATACAGAACATACAGTAGTGTAAACTATAGTCATCATGTTGTACATTACATCTCTAGTACTTTTGCCATTTTGTTAATTGTTCTGGGGTTGTTTTGTAGTTCTTTTTGTTCCCCAACTTTGGAGAAGTGGCCTTACGTAGGAGATGTCCTATGTGTCCCAGCAGTTTGCTCCCTTCTAGTCACCAGAGCTGTATGCTCTCAGGGTGCCCCCTATGTGTGCTGCGTGGGCCTTTCTACTGTGGCAGGCTGACTACTGTGAGCAGTCTGGTAGGCACTGCTGGCCCCCAGTCCTGCTTTGTGTGGAGGATGCTGCCCATTGGTGGGCAGGGCTAGGTCCCAGGGTGGCTGGTTGTGGGTGTGTGGGTCCCATATCTAGTGTGTGGCTGCTGCTGGAAGGAGCTGGTTCCTGACATGGCTGGCTGCAGGGTCTGGGCTGTTTCAGCACTGGTGTGATCCTGCTGGTGGGTG